TCATAAAAACTTTGTTGTTTCTAGCTTCATTTGATATATCTTCATTGCAACTCCTACATCTAAGGCTCACAGAGCATCACAGATGAGGGAGCAGAAAAAAACCCCTGTAAGAACAATGTGAATATGATCCACATCTAGATAAAGAGCTACAAGCAATCAATGTCTTCTGAGGCAGGGAGAACCAGTTTTGTCCAGGAATAAGACTTGTGATAGGTTATCTAATCCAAAGTGGTCTGCCTTATACACATATACACAGCAGGATCAATAAATGGTGATATAATATAATAAATATAAAAATATAATTAATATAATATATATCTATGTAATGACAAAAGAAATGGAGAGTGAGTGGGGGTACTTGGAGGAGTTTGATGGTGAGTCAGACAGTTTATGATGTAAACATAATATTCATGTATAAAATACTCAAAATCCAAAAAAAAATTTAGAAAATGAATAGAAGACATGACATGGGCAGGGGGCATGCCTGAGAGGAGATGGGAGATGTTCTGAGGGAAGGGGACGTAATATATTCAAAATAATTGTATGAAAAATATTTTAATTCAAATAACATTCTTCCAAAAAATTGGAAGACTATATTAAAAATGTTATGGAGTCTGATACAAAGCAAACAAAATCCAAATTATACATATTTCTACAATTGCTAGCAAGTTGAATATATTGTCTGATTCAAAATCTTGTACAAATATGTAGAAATTTATAAAGAATGATGTTGGCATACAAATAGGTAATGGTCTGCTTAGATCATTGGGTAGAAAATGAGCACAGAAACTATTGCACACACTATTATTGTTCACTTTGTCACCTAGGAAACTAAATATCATGAAATAGTTAAAATGTAGTCTCTTTAAAAATAAATTAATGAGCCGGGAGTGGTGGCACATGCCTTTAATCACAGCACTTGGGAGGAAGAGGCAGGAAAATCTCTCTGAGTTCAAGCCAACCTGGTCTACAAAGTGAGTTCCAGACCAGCTGGGGCTACAGGGAGACCCTGTCTCAAAAAGACCAAAAAAAAATTTAATGAAAATACCAAAGCTTCAAGTTATGTAAAGGCAAAGAAAATATCAGTGGCTACATTTTTAACATGCTATATGAATTTCAGAATAAAGAACAATGTTGGACAGCATGAAGGTAATTTTACATACAGAAAGTGGTGGATTGACCAGGGCAACACAACAATTTCCCTGTATACATCTTCCATCACAAAGCAATAAAACACATGAAAAATCTACAGAAAGTAGTGCACACAAGAAGTATAATAAAACACCAAAAATTTACACTTATTAACTGCTAATTTCTAAATATCAGAGATAAACCACTATTATTGATATGTATGTTAACACTTCTGCAAATTATCAGAATTTCCCTTTTTGAAGTACATAGTATTTTACAAGGTGGATAAAATTTAGGCCATAAATAAGTCTCAAATAATTTAAAAGGGCTTCTCCTGCCCCCCCCAGAGTATTGTAGGACATGAGTGCACTTAAATACATGCAGGCAAAACACTCAAACACATAAATTAAAAATATGTAAATCAAAAAATTAAAAATATAAATGCATCAACCATTTAGTTAAGACCACCTGCCTACTTGAACACCCTTATCTCATATATCAGGGTGTTTTATACACAACATGTTCATCTTGAGACTATATGCTAGTACTCAATTCATAGTATTTCTTATAACTAGGAATGCAATATTATTATGTTCTGATTATATACATAGAGTTAAAAATTATGAATACAGTAGGCAAATATTTGCTTATTATTTATTGCTTAACTGAATAATTTTAAACTTCAATAATTCCAAGGTAATTAAAAGGATACTTATTTATCTCTTTGTTTTGACTTAACAAGGACATCACATTTGATATCAGTCATAATAAAGACATCCCCATGAGATGTCCAAAATAATTATTTCCATGGTTCTTGTCTTGTTCCGAACATTGAACAAGTCACTTCACCCATGGGACTGCTGCAATTGGTGAATATATGTGTGGATGTCTGGTTCATGGAAAGGACTTTATTTCTGAATATGCTGTCTCCACCAATCACGCATGTCTTCATAAGCACACATCAGAATGGAAGTCAGAAAGAAAATCTGGCCTAAGAAGGAAAAATGTGTTGGGTAAGTCATATCAACTCTCTGATTTGCTCCTCTAAGATAATTCTTAAAATCTCTATTTCACAGAGTCCACTATGCCTGGAATTGAGAACAGATTCTTTACCTTCAAACATTTTTTGGGAGACAATTCATGGCTTTGTACCAGCTCTCCTATTTCAAATGGCATTGTCTCAGATTACAGGGATTTGCCTGCTAAACTATAGGCACCTCACACAACTAGCATTGTTCATATGGTCCTTACTAGTGTAAATGACTTCAATTAGGAAAGTTCAAGTTTGTAGAGTATCATCCATCATAAATATTTAAGTAAAAATTATTATGATTCTGAAAACTGACATAAAATTTGACTACTGGAGAAATAGGATTAAATTTCATGCCCTGGGGCGGCGGGGCTGGTAAGATGGCTCAGCAGTTAAGAACACTGAATGTTCTTGCAGAAGACCTGGGTTTGAAACCCATCACCCACATGGCAGCTAACAACTGTCTGTAACTCCAGTTCCAGAGGATCCAACAGTTTCTTCTGTCCTCTGCAGGCATTGCACGACACAGGTGCACTTACCTACATGCAAGCAATACATGCATACACATAAAATAATAAAAAAATACCCTGGAATAAAATATAGCCTAACTTCCTTCTGGCATGATCTTGTGCATTGCCTTGATCCCTCTCAGGGAATGTACTACATTGCTGAACTGATATATACCCTTTAAAAACACAAATATCGACGTCACAGAGTTTAATACATTCATCACAAAGTATACTTTCAGAATTGCTTTTCTATCTGTAAGACAATGAACACTTTGTCGTTTTATTTTAATGCTCCTTAAAGAGTAATTTGTCTCCTTTCCTTAATTTTTTGAGTTCTTGGACATCTGAGCTTTATAATAACATCTTTTAATAGGAATCTTCTCTTAGGTAAGGATTTAGAAAAAGTGCATTTATAGACTCTCTCAAATGTAGGTCATTCAATATATCAAATATCCATCTGTGCAGAAGGAATAATGAAGTAATTGTTGCATATCTCAAAAGCAGACCATGTTCCTAAAATAGCCTGTGAATCTGTGTATTCTACAGTGTTGAACATGATAATTTGGGGAAAAATATAAAAAGTAAGTGCTTTAAAGAGAGATTATCATGTTTATTTTGAATAAGGAAGGATTAAGTTGGACAATAAAAGTATTGCTCTTAGCTTTGAAATATTATTTTTTTCAAGGTCCAACATGCAGAATGAGAATCAGAAAAGTATATTTACTAACAGATTCATAGAGGTACAAAGATTATATATGTATATATTAATTTACTAAATTAAGAGTTCTCTTTTGACAGGTTTGGATAATGAAATAGAACCATTTATTCCACTACAGATGATCAATAATAAATGAATGAAGTTTCAGTTAAGCATAGCTGAAAAATGAGCATTTAGTCTGTTATTTTTGCCCACTATTGTTAATATGATTATCTGATTAGTTCAACAGGATTTTCTTTCCATTTTATTTATTTATGTTTTGAGACAATGTCTCCCTTAGCCCCAGATCTCCTGGAACTTGCTATGTACATCAGGCTGGCTTTGAACTCAGAGATTCACTTGCCTCTCAAGTGCCGAGACTGAAGACATGCACTACCTAGCCCAGATTAAACAAAATTTTAATAACAACAAAATGATCGTTATAAAACTGACTTGATATCTTATCTGTTGGTTATGTCCTCTGAATGTGCATAGCCATCTTTCAGCAAATTAATTTCTCATATACCATCCTGGTTTGCCATTTACTGTCATTTATGCATATTTTTCACATAAGTAAAACCTTGTTTTTGAAAATTTACTCTGAAAAATTTTTCTTTGGCAAAACTAGTATTTTAGAAACTATTCAAATTACTCAAAATTTTTGAAGGATAGATATAATTATACTGATATTAAGATATTTTCTTTCAGAATTAGGTCTGTATTAGAAACTATATGCTTACAGAGGCAATACAATAGATGTATATGTAGCTGTACTTGTATGTAATCTGAATTAGAAGCTTATCAATATGAAAGTTGTGACTATCACTATGCATCTCCTTTTCTACAGCAAATGCATGTGCTACCTGATCCAGAATTTGCCTGATATCCCGAGTTATGTTTTCTGAGTCCTTATTATGGATTAGTAGGTAAGGAAAATATACCTTTTGTGATTAGATAATGCATTTTATTATTTATCTGCTCATTTTTCTATAAATTCTATTCTCAAGGGAATAGATGTCTACTATGTTTCAAGGGAGTTACTATATGACTTCCTGTAGACATCCTCTCATAAGTGTCCTAAAACGTGTTTTAAAGATTTAAATACAATTATAGTTTTAGGATATCTTATACAAGGGTCCATTGAGGCACAAATGAATCATTATACACAATAGAAACATGGTAAGATAATTCATGTCATTTGTGTTGAAATTCAAAGTTGACTCACCATCATCCCTTCAAGTTTATATCCTAAAATTGATAAATAGTGTAGTGAATGTGGGTTTCATACTCATGGCTTTTAGTATCCTACTGGGAAAAAGTTAGGTTTAAACTGAAGGCAGTTATTTTAAACTGTTTACATACTACGTTGATTTGTCTTATTTGTGAGAGTACATTTCTAACAATTTTTTTCATAGTAATCTTACATTGTTTTCTTGGAAAATTAATACTGGTTTGTTTTAAGAACACAGTGTCATTGAGATTTGGTCATGATGGCTCCTTGCAATTAGAGTTTTCAGTTTCAGACGGAGAATTTACACTTGAGTCTAAGCATCAGATTCTGAAAGTTTCATTTTTCTCTCCACACAAATTAATCCACGTTCTCCCGGTTATTTCAGGTGAACCACAGAACAAAATGGATGAAGGTAATCAGTCTGCAGTGTCAGAATTTGTGCTTCTGGGACTTGGCCACTCACAGGATGCTCAGGTCTTACTGTTCATGCTATTTCTGGTTGTTTATGTCACCACTGTAATTGGAAATATGGTCATCATGATTTTAGTCATCACTGACTCCCATCTCCACTCCCCCATGTACTTCTTCTTAGCCAACCTGTCCTTTGTTGATATGTGGCTTTCCTCAGTCACCACTCCTAAGATGATCAAAGACTTTCTCACAGAGAACAAAGACATTTCCTTCGAAGGCTGCATGTGCCAGATCCTCTTTGTGCATTTTGTTGGAGGGGGAGAGATGGTGCTTCTGGTGGTCATGGCCTATGACCGCTATGTGGCCATCTGTAAACCACTCCACTACTCTACTGTTATGAGCATGCAAAGGTGCACTGGCCTGGTGGTTACTTCCTGGGTAGCTGGCTTTGTGCATTCTATAGTTCAATTTGTACCAATTATGCAACTTCCTTTCTGTGGCCCAAGGGAAATAGACAGTTTCTTCTGTGACATACCACTTGTAATCAAACTGGCCTGCATGGATACCTATTATTTGGACATTTTCATAAATATTGACTGTGGAGCTATTGCTGTAACTTGCTTCATTCTGTTACTGATATCTTACACATATATGATCCACACCATCCGTCAAAACTCTAAAGCTGGTGCATCCAAGGCACTGTCCACCTGCTCTGCCCACATCACAGTGGTGATGCTCTATTTTGTGCCCTGCATCATCATCTATGTGTGGCCACTCAACATCACCTGGCTGGACAAGTTTCTTGCTGTGTTTTATTGTGTTTTTGCACCTTTACTAAATCCAGCTATTTATACACTGAGAAATAAAGAGATGAAAAATGCTGTGAAAAGATTCAGACGCTACTGTGTGGGGCCCAAGGGGAATGCCCAATGTTCAGAAATGTGATTGTGAGAACTTCAAGTACACAATGCACTTTCATTTGGAAGATAGGTTTTTCAAGCTGTATTTCTACAGGACATTCAGCTTAGATCACATTTTTTTTAGTCCTCATATGTATTTTAGTATAACACAGGAAAAATATTTATTTGAAAACCAGAAGAATAAAATGCATTATGTTAATGCACCTGTTAATCATTTTTTCTTATGGGGAAATTACCTAATCATGCATTTCTACATATTTAATTATACAGTGTAGAATGTAAAATTTGTTAAAAAATACAGCCTTCCTGATTGATAACACTTTATGAAATTTACCTTAAATAATCTGTTTCATTTACAAACACAGTATTCCATATTCTCCCACTTCCCTGAAAACTTTTTTATTCAAAATTTCTATGTCGACTGCATCCTAAGAAAACTTATTCTGTCTTAACTTGGCTTTCTGCAAAAAGCTACTGGTAAATAAATTTTAAATGAAAAAACTATTATACTAAGGTCAAAAACTATGTAAAGAAAAAAGTGGATGATGTTTGGGATTGACTAACTAAATAATATAAAACTATGACATACATTAAATTAGTAAATAAATGCAATCTTATGTTATCTCTTAGTTTATTTCAGTTTCAAGCATTGAAGTTTATTCATTAAATTAGTTATTAATATTTATGGGCAGTCCTAAAATGCAATCTGACTCAGGGTCATAGCCTTATTTTCCCAAGTTAATTCATGAAATTTCAGTACTCCATACAGTGGGTGATACATACTAGACAATTATCAGGTAGCTTCATATCAATGCAGTAAAAAAGTTCCATAAAAGTACGTGTCAGATTTATTGACCAAGGAATGCTTAGATCTACCTTTGATAATCAAAACACATTATAAATTATAATATACACATGGAAACTGTTATATTTCTCTAAGATTTATACTTTATGTGGGGTGGAACTTATTTATAAAACAACAAAGTCGTAAAGCATAACATGTACTTTATTTAGTAAGAAAATAAAATACAAAGTGTGCTAGAATATGTGTGCTATCTTAGTCTTCCTGTTTTATGTCATCCACTCATATTTATAATTACTTTAATTAGTTTCAATTGTGACTATTTGAAGAAGCTTTAGGTGTTTATCCACATGACTTTTCCAAGAAATAATACTGATTTCTTTATCTGGTGTGAAAGGATTATGATATAATTTGGTTTTATGCCTGTTCACTTACTGCATAAGGTAGAATGTAACAAAACAATTATTTTTTTCAAAGCTAAACTTTAAGTCATGCCAAGAAAAATAATAGAAATTGCTCTTGAACATCCTGATCAAATTTGGAAATTTAAAAATAGTAATTTGGGGACAGGACACCTGTCTGGGACCCTGAGACTCTTCACCCTACCTGTCTTCCTTCAAGGTAATCCCAAAGTGGCCCCCATCTGCGCTGTTAAGACCTTTATGGATCCCCAGATCTGGGAGCTTTCTCAGACATGCCTTAATAAACAGATCTCTCAAATCTCACAAGCGAAGCATCCTTATACAGCAGATGGTGATTATCACAGAGAACTCCAACTGGCCGACTTGCAGATAATAAGAGGCTGCAGACTGCATATCCCTGAATAGGACACCTATATGAAACTTCTGCCTCTCAAGGCTGATGGCTCATTGAGGAAGAGAAGAAGGATTGTAAGTGCCAGAGAAGGTATGTGACCACAAGGAAACCTAGTTTATAGACAGCTGGTCAGTTACGCATATGAACTCAGAGCAATGGTAACAGCATCCAAATTCCACATAAGCTCAAGCCACACAAAATACCGGTATAGATATAGAGAAGTGGGTAGCAAACCTCAGCCCTAGCTGAGGAGCTATTGATGACTCATGATTCCTGAGACAAGGAGACTGATTTTCCTTTGAGGTGACACCCTTTGTAGGTTCACCAAGATCAACTGGATGAACCTACACTGCAGGGCATTGAGGGACACAAACATGATCAAAATACATTGCATGAAATTCTAGAAAGCTCACTTTTCCTCTAGGTTCCCTAGTCCCCAAGATTCACTAATTTCCTTTCAGGGTGACACTCTTGGTAAGATCACCAATGCCTAGGGATGAACCTACACTGAATGGCATTGGGAACGCCAACCAAAATATATATATATATGTAAAAGTTGGTGGAGGGAATAGTAAGGGGTGCAGAAGATATGGCATTGGATCTAAATATGAACAAAATATATTGTGTGAAATTCTCAAAAATTCAATAAAAATTCCAAAAACTGACGTCAAAGGCTCACCTGCATCCTGATGGAGATCCTGTGGTTGCTGATTTGGCCTGAAGACACACCTATTCTGTCTCTGCTCAGAAATCCCACAAAGCCCTGCTTTCCTCCAGTCTTGCACCCTGTGTCTATTCCCCAGGTCTCTCCGGATTATTCTCCAAATCCTAGCCTGTTGCTCACCTTAGAAACTGTATCTACTTCTCCTGATCTCTCATCCTTAAGGACTCCCCCAAAACTGTTTATTGTCCTTTTGGTAACCTGTGGAACCTCTTCTCCAGGCTTTTCTTCTCTCAACATTTCCCAATACTCTGGTTTGTGTGGACTCAGGAACCAGGAAGGAAAGCCAGATTCCTCTGATTATGCCCCTCTAAGTTGCAGTGGGAAACTCATTTCACTCACCTGACATGAAATTCTAAAACTACTAGAGGAAAAAGTAGTAAGTACAGATCAAATTATAAGCACAAGTGAAGAGTCTTTGCATAGGACTTCAGTAATGCAGGAAATAATCAGTGACAAATACCCCTCATCAAACTGGGGGTAGAAATGTTTGCGATAAGAGGACAGAGAAACAAAACAGCATGGAACAGCCAGCTAAAATAAAGATTTATGGAAACACTGTATGGAAACCCATGATCATGAGATCCAATTTAAAAGAGGGGATATATATGAACAGAAAGAAGGGAGGGATAGGAAGATGAGGTGGCCAAAACTAAGCCTGCATGAAGTCATGAAATTCTAAAAGATTATAATAAACAAATTAAAAATATACTTTTAAAAATAATAAAGTAGTTTAACAAAGGTACCATAACTAGATGGTAACTATTTCTAAAGACACAGGGCACATTGATGAACACAGAGAAATCAATTTCAAGCTACTAGCAAACTCTCCCTAATGGCCAGCTTTCATTGGATGGGAATGTGCTTGGCAGGATATTGGAAGAGAAAAGTCATCAACCATCTTACCAAGTTCTGGAACATGTATGCTACAATGCTGACCTGCCAGGCAAGGTGTGCCCAGTGGTGCAATAGTGGGATGACTTCAGTGAAGGTAACCAGGCACTTTAAAAATTATATTTTTATTGAGCTTTTGTACATACAATAGCTCTTAATCAAGTTTGAAAGCCCCCCCATCTATGCCCCCCACATCTCCACTGGACCTCATGTGTTCTGCCATACATGTTAAACTGTATCTGTTAAAGCATTTGTCCCCAGATGTCCTTCGGTGAAAGTTCATCAACTGGGGTCTGGTCACCCTATCTAGAGATGTTAAGAAAGGTCTATTCTTATTCATCCAGCAGAACTCAGTCTCCAAGTGTTCCCAGGCCAGGGCTAGCCCTCCACCTATTTCCCTAGCTCCAATACGGGGCCCGGGTCTGATTAAGCTGGCATGGGCCTTGTGCTCGTTTCCACCATTGCTTCAAGTTCAGATGAGCAAGCTCCCAGTGACCTAAAAGCTTCTGTTTTCCTATGTTCAGGAATCAACCATTTCTCATACTATCATTTGCTCCCTCTTCTGCAATGGTCCCTGAGACATGAGTAGGTGAGTTTTAATATAAGAGTCCCACCTAAGGACACACACTCTGAAATCTCTGATTCTCTAAAACTTGGCTAGTTGTGGTCTTCTGTGTGCATCCCACTCTGTTATATAAGAAGCTTCACTGGTGAGAGTTGACGGATGCTCTAGTCTTCTCTCTACCATCTGTTCTATGTTCCATGATCCTCAGGCATAGAGGATCCATTCTAGATAAGTCACTTAGGACTTAAAATCTCTCAGATGCATTCTCTGTTGGATCAGTTGTAGAACTCTACAGTAGCCTCGATCTTTTGCAAAGAGAAGCTTCTTTGAGGAATAGTGTGCAGTGTATTTATCTGTAAATATAAGGATCCGTATTTAGTATAGGATAAGAAATTTTGTCTAGAGTTATGACAGAGACAGACTTCCCTCTAGTATCTATGACCTCTTCAGTCATATGTATTTGGCTGAATACAATGCCACCCATGACTTCCCTCCCATTGAAAGAGCTTTAAGTCCAATTAGATGGCTGTTGATTATCCTTCAGATGTTACGCCGGTCATTGTAGTTATTAGGTTTTAGGGCTATGCTGGACCATTGATTGATCTTCTCCCTTAGCAGCGTGCATGGCATCCTCTAGAACTATGATACCTGAACTTCAGGTAGAAGGATTCCAGATCAGTTCATGTTCCATTGCTCCACACCCTGGGTCTGAAATATGTCCTATCTTCAGCAGTAGGGTCTTATGCTCAATTCTTGGAGATAACCACGTGTGCCAGCAATAGCCTGTGTCACTTTGGGAGTCTCTTGGGCTTCTCTGACAAAACACTCGAAGCCAGTGTCTGGCACTGTGCTTCTTGCCACACAGCTCCCAGGTATGCACTTGTACCAATGTTAATATATGTGTATTAACACATATGTAATATATGTGTTATTAAATATACATAATGGTAATATGTGTATTTCTCAGGGGGTTCCCAGGTCAACACATTTCCCTCTGGCTTCGCACACTGTGCTGGATAGCTTTAGTGTAACTTGACACACCTGGGTTGAGGGAGCCTCAATCGGGAAATTGCCTCTATTGGACTGGCCTGTGGCCATGTCTGAAGGGCATCTTCTTGATGAGTGATGTGGGGGTCCACACCCTGGGTCTGAAATATGTCCTATCTTCAGCAGTAGGGTCTTATGCTCAATTCTTGGAGATAACCACGTGTGCCAGCAATAGCCTGT